GATGCAGGAGCGGCTCCGGCAGCTTTCTTGGAGGGCGGGAGCGGAGACGGGGTCTATAGGGGAGAGCGAAGGTCCTAAGTAGCCTCCGGGCAGTAGAGGGTGGGTGTTGCGGCTTTGCCTGGGGCCGCTGGGTCCCTCCCGTCACCGCTGACTGAGAGCCTTTCTCGGCTCGGGTCCTTTTGTCTCGGCTCCTCGTCGTTCGCGCGGTGAGCGCCGGTGGCTGCCCCCCTCCTCTCCTCCTCCATCGCCAGTGCCTGGGGGGCGGAGGGGGGAAGGGAGCCCGCCTCTGTGTGTGTGTGTGTCTGTGCGTGCGCCTTTAAGAGGGAGCCGCTCCTGCACTGACGGTTGGGATTTGAAGTTTTCCCTCCCCCTGGAAGTTGTCATGGCGACGGCAGCTCTCCCCCCCCACCCCGCCCGCGGGGCTGCCCCGGTGGCTCTCGTGCCGGGAGGTTTCCCGGGTCACGTGCCTCCCCCGCGCGTGTCCGGCTGTCGGGGGCGCGCGGGCACCGGCGGCGTTCCCGCCTGGAGGAACCCCGGGACCGGGGCTGCTCCCGCTGCGCTCCACCCGGGCAAATGCAACCTCCCCGCCTGGCCCCGGCCCCTGTCCCTGGCATTTGGCGCTTGTGCCGCCTCGGGGCGGCGGGCGCTTCGGTGGGGATGTTTGTTTGTTTTGGGGAGGGGGGGTGTGAACACTGAGGCCAGGAACTGCTTATCTGTATTGTTTCAACAGACGTTTCCCTTCTTGGGGAAATAGTATCCTTGATCTTCGAGTGTTAGAGTCAGAGCCGATCCTCCCCGATGGCTGAGCGGGGAAACGCATCTAGTGTGGCTGGGTGGGTGAGCAGCACTTCATTCAGTGTTTCTGCGGGCACTTGAGACAAGAGCAAAGAAGTGACATAGGTTTAACAAGGTATAACAAGCTGGTATACCTGTATTTATAAGTAATTAGCACTGTCCGAGTTCGTGAATTTTTTACATTTTTCAGTAACGTGATAACTGCTGCATAAGCACAAGCTTCTTGATCTTTCTGTGTTGCCCCATAGCACTTGTAAACACCTGTTATAACACCTGTATGTATGTTAACATGCCCCTGTGTGCTTGCAGTGTCTTTTTAGTCCTCCAAGTTATAGTATTGTTTAGAAAACAGTGTTTTCTATGCGCTACTACACTATATAATGCTTCCAACAGAAAGAACACATTTTAATTAGAATATATAGGAGAGCCAGATTATTGACATAGATGCTGTGATAAGGCATTAAATCTGAGGATGGCTGTCTCTCACAAGTGGCAGTTCCTGTGGTTGCCTGTTATTTAATGGCATTTCACTTAAAAGTTTAAGCTAAAATCTCAGAAGTCTGATAAGCAATGGATGACTGAAGGAACCATTGGGTGGTAATTGTGTACTGTCAGATGTGTTTGAGAAACAGTTGCACACCCACACTGAGAAGACGTGTAAAGAAATACAATAGGTTGAGTCCTCTGCTGGGCAGATCTCCTGGGTTTAGGGAACTTCTTCAGAGTTGCTTTTTGGGTTGGCCTTTAACTGAGAATTTCAAAGTGCAAAACTATCATGTAATTACTTATATTTTATACTGATTACACTATGGTGGTGCTTTGCATTCAGCTTTCTCTTTTTTGGAATAAAAGTTAAGAGTATTATTTCTTTGTATATTCGTGATTTAAAATTCAGTTAATAGAAAGGAGCCCTGAAATTACTAGCAACTGCTAAGGAGAAAGGACACAGGTTATAGTTTAATAGTTAGTCAAGAGCTATCTCGGTTAAGAAGTGTTACCTGGCAGGCCTGTTGAGCAGCCCTTATCAGAGAGAGAGTGTAAACAAAGTGGCAAGAAAGTGAGTAGTCAGGATAATGGAGGTAGAGTAAGCTTAACAGGTTTGGGCTGGGGTTTTTTTGTCAGGGGGTGGTCCCTTTACTCCTTTGAAATTCTGTTGCATTAAATTCTGTAAAATAGGCTCTAACAATAGCTAAAAATAACTTCTATAGTAAAAGTGGTTTGTTGTTCTCACTAAGTATTCCTAAGGATTTTGAGAGTGTAACAAAGTTAGTGTTAACTGGAAGGTCTGAACAATGCCTGGGGTGATGGCTGAAATGGCAACATGGTGGAGGAAGGAGTGGTGAGTATGATGGATTTGGCACTCTTCTCAAAAGTTGTATGTTTGTAGCAAAGTGAGAAGAACAATATAGTAATGCAGTAGTCCCTCAATTATTGAACTTTTCAGATGAGCAACTTTATTTTGATGTCTTGTGCCATCTACCATATTGATACTAAATTTGATATTGGCATTTCTGTAGTATAATTAATTGAACACTTTGAAATCATTTACCTGTCAAGGATTCCTCATCATTCTTTCTTTGTGGAAGTGGTAAACCTCCAAGACAGTGCTTGAGGCTCACAGTGAACACTGTTTATATTTACAACAGTGAGACTGAAATAATATTCAGTGGAGGGCTAGTGATGGTTAGGGACTTCCGCTTGAAGGGCTCAGTTGCTGAATTGTTCCTTGGTAAAAGCCTGGTTGCAGACTTAACTCTAAAGCCCATGCATTTATGTAAAAGCTTGGGGTTTGCCAGCCTAATACATTAATTTGTGCCCTTCAGAATATGATTTAAAGTGTCATATCAAAATGTTCAAACACTGAAAGGATTCATAAAGAAAAGCAGTGATAAAATTTCACTGACATTGCTGAAAATTTGTTTATTTGGTATCTAAACATACTTGAAGGTACAAAAGACTCCACATTGTAAATGAATGGAGTATATTAACAAATTTGAAATAGGTATTCGGTACAAAATATCTGTTCATCTGGAAATCTTTGCGTGTGTTATGTTGAGCACTGACATTCTTAAGATGCTTAGACTTGTGCTTATTGGGTGTTCCTAGCTCTTGCATGACTCGATCAGAGTTCAAAACTTGATGCACTTAAAAAACACCTGGAGATCTCAGTTCTGTTGGTCTCCTTACAGCTGTATAGTACATGCTAACAAGTACTGCTTCTACTTACCAGCAGTGCTCACTGGTATGTTTTGTCCTAGGTACAGTCTTTGTGACATAACTAACACAAAATACCCTAATTCTAGATTGTGTGTTTATAGAAAAGTGCCAGAAAGCTCAGAATTTAAGTACCTGAGTTTGCTAGTAACTGAGTTCTGTGGTGGTTTAAATTGCAAGATGTTTTATAGATGTGAATATAAGAAGGATTAAAAAGTGCTCTCTGGTGCTCTTCGTTGGAACTTTGTAATGTGAATCGATTAATTCTATTCCATTGGATTGAGAGGCTTCGGCAGTATGGAGCTGTAAGTCTAGCTTTGTGATCAGCCTTAAAAAACAGTATTTATGCAGGTTTTCTCAAGCAGTAATTGAATCCATTCCCCAATTTCATTTGAACTTCATAGGTAGAGTGTTGGCAAGTACTCTGAGTTCCTTCCTGTTACTTTCATGAATAGGCACAGGGGAGGGACCGGGTAGTGGCTGGGATGCAAGAAAGCTTCAAGCACAGGGTCAGGCTTTTTGCTGTGTTATCACAGTAGCCTGTGGGTGAGGCTTGGAGCAGTAATATAGTAATAATTTTTAATGGAAAGTGCCAGGTTGTTCCAACCATGGATGATGGAATCTTGCTAGGACCCTGCAGTGCGTTGTGAAAATATAACAGTGTCTAAGTAAAACTTTAATTTTCAGTGAAAGATTAAAATATTATTGCTACTTTTTCTAAAAAAAATACATTGCTATTTGGGGGAAGGGCAGAAGTTTTACTGTTCCTCTGCTATAGCTCAAGGGCACACATTTGACAGGAAATAGACTTGGTATTTCTTTCTTATGAAAACTGAAATTTGATCAAAGTGAAAATCCATTTTTGTATGCTTGTGAAATCTAGCATACAAATACTCCTTTACTCTTGTTAATTTTTTTCAGACTTTTTTCTTTCAAAATTAGGATACATTAGTGTATGTAATTCTGTTTTGATAGATCTAGACTTTGAAATTTTTTAAATTTTTTTTTTTTAGTATTTGTTATTTAATATTCTAGTTGTTCCAGCTTGCTATTTTTGAACAAACTGACTCAAAAGAGCACTTTCCAAGAAGAGAAATACCCCCCATCCCCGCCAGACAAAAGACTTATAGCTGCTACATTTGGTGGTATCCCCACACTTGCAACAGTCCTGCATTAAATACCTCATATCTTTATTCCACAATACGCAGCAGTGTTCTCACTTTCCATGTAGTAAGTACTTTGCAGCAGGTTAGTGTCACTTTTTTTTGTAATACCACCATGGTTTTAGGTGCTTTTCTATGGTTGCCATGGTAGTAGTGGGAGAACCAATTATTTTACTGCACATCTCTAATGTTCTTGTGTTTCTACTGATGATTGTTATGATGGCTTAAGTGCTCTGTCACCTGTCAGGCCACTAACAGACTACATGCAATAGTGACTTCAGTATGATACCTGCTTTGAACTCTTTTGCTTCCTTGGCACTCCAGCGTCTTTAAACAGCCAACAAGCCTGCTATTGTCATAGTGCATCATCCAATATGATGGACAGTAATACTTTCGGTGTAAGGTGTTCCTGTGGATCTGCTGTGCTTTGAGCTGTGATGTGAAACCCTTGGTGTGATTCCAGCGTGAAGCAGATCAAGGAGGTAATCTCAGTTACTGCAAATGTTGGAGGAAGAACAGGAATTAAATCTAGATCTCAACCATAGTACAAGTTCACAGGCAGTTTTCGATGCAATGCGGGAAGATGGTAGCATGTAAGGGAATAGCTCAGACTAGTATTACAAAGTCAGGTGTGCAAGTGGGCATTAGCATTGATCA